CTGAATTCTTTCTTGTGTAACTCTGGAATTTATTACCGTCCTTTTAATGCACCTCTTCGCTTCATCCTTCTTTTATTCCGCGTCCTTCCTTTGGATTCTCCTTGCCCACCTCCGGACGCACTGAAAAAAAAATACACCGCCTGTCGCTCACCGGACCTGCTTCAAGAGGCACTCCGATACGAGTTCGGCCAATTTGCCAGTAGGTAGGTACCTCTAGACTTGTGTTTCCGGCGACGCGCACTAACTGGAGCCAGAAACTCCCAGCTCTTAATCCCAGTTCCAATAAAACTCACCGACTTTGTTCGCCATACCTGCTTCAAGAACGTGTTCTGCCAATTTGCAAGGTACCTCTAGATTTGTATTTCCAGCGACGCGCACTGACCGAGCCAGTAACTGCAGCTCTGAATGGCACACCTCAAAAATGAGCACCGTTTTACTCAAGTCTCGACCTCTGTGCCGCCCTCCTCTCCCCCGCCCGATGAGGCACATGAGCCATCGGTCAACTCGAGCCCTGTAGCACACGACGACCTCGTCAACTTTGACTCCGCTGTATTCGACCAGGTCTATTCACTGTCTTCTCCTGCACCTATGCCCCGACCATCTCTCCCGGCAATAGCCACCATCGAAGACGAGCAGCGCATGAATCCCTTCGTTTGGCCCTCCCCAAGTTTTCCATCAGGGTTGGCAGCGCTTGCCTGCTATGCCAGCGACTCTGACTTCTCGCCGGAACGGCCCCAGTCCCTCTACGACTCTGACCTTTCGCCGGAACGGCCCCGTCCACTCCCAATAGTTCGGATAGAGACGGCGACCGATGTCCAACAGGTCGGCGGCGGTCGTGAAGCCACGCCTCCTAAACAGCTTCAGTCTACTCGCCTTCGGACTCAGATTAGGCACGTCGAGTCACCTGGTGAGAAGGGGGAGCGCCGCCCACGCGCCTCCTTCGTTGACCACCTCAAGGCGGGTGAGGCCAACTTCGAGATCCCTCCCGTACCCCTTTATTTCCACACCGAGACTCCCCCCGACTCGCCGTGTGCCCCCACTCGTGTCAGTGCGACAGAACGGCGTGGCCGTGGCCGTGGTCGTGGCCGTGGCCGTGGGCATAGCGCCGCCGCTGCCTCTGCACCCCCCAAGGCCGTAACTGCTTTGCCTCCGGCAACCTCAAGTCCCGCCGGCGCCACAATTCAGGCGCCTTCTGCTACCCAGCCGCCGCAATACGCCTCATTCATTGACTACGTCGAGGCGGGCGACTTCAGGGAGGCTCCCCTTCCTCCCCCGCCCCCCAATTTCTACGCCGAGTGTGTGCGGGCTGCTAACGCGGCTCTCGCTACATCACACAACGTCGCCATTGCTCCGCCTCCGGGAATAACAGGCCCCTCGGCGGCCATGACTGAGCCAACGTCCGCCACCGCTCCGCCTCTGGTACCTCCGCCTCCGGTACCAACAGACGCCGCTGCTGTTGCCGACGCCGCTCCGCCTCCGGTACCTCCGCCTCCGGCACTAACAGGCGCCGCTGCTGTTGCCGACGCCGCTCCGCCTCTGGTGTCAATAGACACTGCTGCTGCCGACGCCGCCTCTGCATATGAGGATGACGATACGGTCTTCAGCCGTGACCTGTTTGACGGCGACGCTGTTGATGATGAACATGACAGCCCAGCGTCCAAGGGCAAGCGTGGAAGGCCGTCAATCGCCCAAGTGCGAGCGGTGGAGGGGTTGATCCAGGAGGTTACGGAGAAGATCGACGATACGGCTATCAAAACCGGACTGGGACGGGACCTCATCATCCGCAAGCTCTTGCACGAGGTCGCCGGACCTACATTCAACCGCACCACCATTTGGCACCGATTTGTCAAGTATGCGTACCACAAGGATCGGCGCCTGGACGTCGTGCGTCTCGCCGATCCTGACTTCAAGGCACCCCAGGGGGAATGGTTACCCACCAAGGAGCAGGTTTCAGCGTCTTGGAGCGTCTTCAATGAGCTTCACACACGCGAGGAGCAGGAAGAAACCCTCGCCGCATTCGAGGAGGGAACAGTACTTCTAGCCGAGGAGACGGTGCGGGACCGGCAGCGTGCTTTTGAGAAGGGATATGACATGCTCACAACAGGCGTGAGTCACCTGGTTTTTAGTCCCTGCCCATGCGCTAACCTTCCAACTAGATGAGGGCGCAGTTGAAAAATTCAGAGTTCGACTCGTTCTTCATTTTCACGGGGCCACATATCAACGATGACGTTCAGCTGGCTCAATTGTATGCCACCCCGCGTGCAGAGAACGTAAGTACTTCCTTCAGAGTTCACTTTTCTAGCTAATCTGTGACAGTTCCTACATGACATAGTCGGCGTGGAGCCTAGGGACTTCATTGGGCTGTTCAGGCTCTATACCTAGTATGCGTATTTCGCCTAATGTGCTCGCTGATCGTTCATTTATGTTTAGCTGCGAGGAGCTCCGCCCCATTCTGGCCGCGGTCCGTACAAACACAGGCACAGCCCTGGACCTCACGCAAGTCTTCAAGTCCCACACGGCGAATATATGGGAGTTCAGCCATATCCAGGCGCTTGCAAAGGCCGGGAGGAGCCTCCGGACTCCCGTCGCCGCCAACATTGCCCAGTCCGGGTCCACCTCCGTACCGCGCGTAAACCCTGCCACAAATCCCGTTGTGAACGCTAGGGCCCTCACGTTCAGCTCCGATAAATCTGCAACGTCGCGTCGTGAGGCAGAACTGGCTCACAAGAGGGCAATGGACGCCCATTCCGCCGCCTTCGACACCGCCGCCGCCAACGGCAGCACCCTCCCACCGCAGCTTGTTGCTTGGCTTGATGTACCCACGACGCGCCGCGCTCCGTTGAAATTCAATTACTCAGGTTTAACGGCAGAGCAGAAGACGAAGATGAAAGCGGAAAATCACGCCACAAATCGTCAGGCATACGACGGTGAAGACCGTTACTACAACAACAACATTCGAGAGGCCCTTACCAAGATCAGCCGGATGGACCTCGCCGGCAAGGACATCTTCCACAGCATTCGTTCAGATAACATGACGTGGACGACCCTGCATCAGACACTTTTGGACCAGAAGGTCCGCCTCGTCGGATTCCCCTCCCATATGACGATACCCACGCTCGCCGGCTCAGAGAAAGCCACCAACTCCTGGACGATGGTCGACCGCGCGGCCATGGCTCTCGCCGTCAAGGCTCGAGTGCTGGGAAGTTTGGCCGGACTTTGCTTGGAATACCACCCGTACGATGGAGTTGGTGCGTTTTTTGCTCTCCATACCTGTTGATAGTACTAAGTGTTCTGCAGATGACTTCGCTATCATTTGCCATAGCTATCTCCGAGTGCCACCAAAGCACGACGCAGGCGACGAGGCCTTTTGGAGATCATCCAACGGTGAAGCGCTCCTGACCGTCACCAGTTCGGGCTTGATTTACTCTGCGATCTACGACCTTCGCATTTCGGGTTCCCCCACATCCAACGCCCACATGGTATACGACAACCGCCCCAAGACAAAGCAGAAGCTACCTTTGGCGGTAGCGTCGTCGTCCAAGCAGCCTGACGACTACGACTACGACGACGATGAAGAGCTTAGTTCAGTGGAGGAATTCGGAGAGCAGGTGGCAGATGGGAAGGAAGAAGAGGCGGTGGCGCAAGTAACAAAAGAAAGGAGGGGGAAGGCGCGTGCAGCCGGAGGCGACAAGCAAAAACCGAAGGCGGCCGAGCCCAAGGCGCGGCGGAAGTCAAAGGCTCCTACCAAGACCACAAGCCGCCAACAAAAGGCCAAGCGAGTGGCCAACGACGAGATGGACCTCGAAGATGCTGATATCGAGGTGGAGCCGGAACCGCTGCCAGCCCGAACCACGCGGTCGCGCTCCCGTGCGCCGGCTCCTTCTGTGCCCCCTCCCGCTCCACCTGCTGCGCCTGTGCAAACAGGAGGTGGGTCTATTGGAGGCCACGGCCGGGCTGCAAATGTGCCCCCGCGCCCCTTGCCACGTCTCCGGACGCCAGCGGCTGCTGCGTTACCAGGCGAGACTTCAGGGAGGATCGGGACGGGCAGCGGCATTGCAAATTGCGATACAACGTCCGAAGTCCCCACAAAGGCTGTTCGGTTCGTCGCTGACTTGGCTCCCGTCAAACGTAGGCCAGAAGAGAACATCTTCCAGCCGCCGAGCAAGCGACGGCGGCCTTCAGACGAGTCGCTTGCAGTGCCCGTCGAGTCCGTCGCACTTGCCGTGCCCGACACCGCCGTGCAGACTGCACCCATCGTGCCCCTCGCTCTGGCCATGCCGGACATCGCCGCGCACACTGCACCCGTTGTGCCCGTCGCACTGGCCGTGCCAGACACCGCCGCACGCACTGCATTCGTCGCCTCTGGCCCGCCCATGGGGCTCGCTGCCCTCAACCCTGATGCCCCAGCGACGCTTAACACCCCACCGGCCAGTGCTGTCTCAGGAACCCCTGGTCTCAGCGGCACGACGTTGCCGCTGCCGTCCTTCGCTTTTCCCGGTGCCCTACCGCCAGGGACTTCGCCCGCCTCCAGCAACCCCGCACATCCGTTTGCTGTTGCCACCGCCCCGGCTCCAACCATTTCAGGTGTAGACCCAGCAATGTGGGCGCTAACAGCCATGATGGCAACTTTGTCCGAAGCGCAGAGGGCGCAGTTCCTCCAGCAGATGGGAGCCGGGACACGCTGAACCTGACTTCTTGTTGACTCACGGTACATGTACATTTACTGCGCAGCGACTATAAGTCTTGTATTACATTTTGTGTTTTTTGAATTTGTGTCGTGTTTTACATTTTGTGTTTTTTGAATTTGTGTCGTGTAAATTCACGCTTGTATATTTGGATCTGTGTCGTCTAAAGTACTCCATTGCATACAGGAGTGACAACGTCTTGCCTGGGTTATATTGAAGCTTGTTCATCGCGCAGGGCAACGGCACCGATGGCAAGAGTCCTCGCTTGCTCTTTGGCGCGGAAGACCTCATATATGGACGCTGGATTCAGTTGTAGCATCGGTGGTGTAGTGGTAACATGTCGTGAACTTGTAGAAAGTTCTGCAGGAGTTTATTCGAAGTTCTGGGTTCGAGTCCCGGCCGGTGCTTGCGTTTTATGCATTATGCATTGTAGCCCGGGTTGAATTGAATCAACCTCAGTCCCAGCGGCCTCCGGCTTCACTGTGCAACTACGTGGGAGAAGACAAGCGCGGGCACGTGACGAATCTTGACGCGTCAAACGTCACGAAGGCACTCGCAGAATTGCAAACTGGCCAATCCCGCCAATCCCAATGGTCAGGTAAGGTGTGATTCATTTTACCAGCTTAATTCTAGGGTTGGGCATACCACACAGGTAGAGTAGCATGCGTAAACGTGCGTCCCGAAGGCGCCGACGCGCCGACGGCCCGAGCGCGCACAAACACGCCCGCTCACCCCTTCCCACACATGGACCCAGCCGGCCCAGCCATAGAATGAACATTCAGTAAGGCTACAAGTACTCACACAAAACGCGGCCGGCGCTGCAGGCACTACCCCTGGCCCGGTTCGCAACTGCTGCCGTGAGGTATAAAACCTGCACTCTATTGCTTGTAGGGGGCTAATTTCACCGTTCTCTTACACAGACAATGTTATTTTTATACCATACACCGGTACTGTCGTCCCACGCAACGCTACGCGCGAGCTGGAAATGCATGCAGCAGTCCCGAAGGCCGCTGCCACACCCGTACGTGGCTTCCTAATTAAGACTAGCGGGTATTGGTCAACCTTCGGCTTGCTCGAGACCCCTTCGAAGGCCATTTTTACTCAACATGTAAAATGGCTTCGAAAGCCTATTTGTAAGCAATCAGCTGTCGTCTTAGGTGCATATTCCCTGGACACACAACTGACTAAAAACATGTCGAGTCCTTTTACTTGAATTCCAGAGTGGTATATACGCTATATTGTAGCGTATGATTGCGGCACTTTGTTCAATTTAAATTCGTATGGACTTTTTTAAAAAACAAATCGAGGAATAATTATAAGGTTGCTGTTAAAAGGTTCTTGTGACGCGTGACCATATGAATTGAACTGTACTGCCGAAATTCGGCATTTCTCATGGCGAAGCTAGCCGTAGATGACACAGGTGAAGAAAAATGCGGTTCTCGGCAGACCCAGCTGCCGAGTCGCGGCAGAGCTAAAATGGCAACAAGAGTCCCGCTTGAGGTTTGCCTAGCATGATTCACAGCCGTAATCGCCGTAGCATAATCTTTTCAGCTGTGCCAAAACATATTGACATTATGCCGCCGTATACTGTACTATTTCAATTCGAATGCCACGCGTCACACCCGATTTCCGGAAACCCCGCCATTAATTTCTCTCGAATTTTTGGGCGAGTTTTGATGTCATCAAAATGGCACGTGTTTTTCGAATTGAATGAAATACTACACCGTAAGAGGCTTTGGGCCTGCTTTACAATGGGAATTGAGGGGGATGACCTGCCAGTGGGATGATGGAGGTAAGTAATAGGTTTACGACACAGATGCTGACCGTACATCCGAGTCGCCGTCAAGTTACAAGTAAACGGCCTTATGTAACTGTAAACGGTTACGGTGGGGATCCCCAATTTCAGTCATCCAATGTGGCATGCTCAATTGAGCCTCTCCAATAAAATATAGATAAACAACACACCTCCGGGAGCCAAATTAGGAAAGTCACGTCATAAACCTCAGTTTGGTTTGTCGCTGCCATTCACTATTTGAGCCATGTCAGTCCATACTCGCCTCCCCGCAGACATTCAAGCTGTTGGACATATTCCAGGACATGCATCTATATATTCACGATGTGCGCACGCAGTCTTTATCACTACGTTCAACAGGCCCGGCCTAAACAGACAATGTCTAGGTACATGCGGGTCAGCGTATGTCAGTCTATATTTCTTACACTCGGTCTCAAGGGGGTCCAACGATAAGAATTTCTGACACAGGGTAGGGGGGGGGGGGGTAGGCCGAGCCTCAAAAAAAAACTTTTGTGGCACAAAAGTTTTTCGTCCAAAAATGGTATTCTGCGCTGTTCTGTGCCTCCTCAGGAGTCAGAACGGGTGTTGCATGTAAGTATATGATGCATGTAAGGTGACAAGATCAGATTTTGGCTTCCTCCGCGACATTTGGATGTGTTATTGGTGTTTGGCAAAGACTTTGTCACGGTGTGCAATTTTCGCAGTTGCGTGCACCATCCAAACGTAAATGTCGTGAATTAGAAGTCAATTCGGTAATGGGGGGGAAAAAGTCGCGTGCAGGTAATATTGTGCTCTTCGTGGACTGACGATATAATCAGACGGCGGTGACGACCGTGACGGCGCAGAGAAATTTCATGCACAATCTACCCTCTTCTGTCTGGACTGCAAGACAGATGCCAAGATTGGCTTTGGTGGGTACCGCAAATAACTTTCAATAACACAAGGACCTCCATTGCCAGAGATCGCAGAAAGAATCCGCGAAGACGCAGCCCAGATACGCCACGTTCGCCAATTAGCGCAAGACGGCGCCCCCACTGGTTGCATCAACGGTGGAGGCCCGGGCACCATTACCTGTCCACGGACCTGTCTTTGAAATTGCCGATTATTTGTTATGCCGACGGAAATTTCCGTCGGCAATCAGGCCCAAAAAGGCAATTTCCCACGAGGGGGGGGGGGGGGAGGGGTCAGCCAAAGGTCGGAAAAAAACTTTTGTAGGTGATATCTTTTTCCCTTATCGTTGGACCCCCTTGCTCGGTCTACACTCGGTCTGTGCTGATTGTGTAGGAACATACACTGACCTACACTGACCCGTCACCTGCACACACCTAGACAAAGTCAGTCTAAGCCGGGCCTGAACGTAGTGAATGTTGAGTACATAAATAACCAGGCGCGGCGTCGAGGAATTACTCACAGCCTTGTCAACCTACCGCACCAAACCTCACACGAAATCAACCACAGTGTCAGTCGCGAGTGCTCGGGTGAGTCAAATGGCCCTTTCTGTACAGTACAACTAAGGCCCACAGATGTGCCACTCAAAGCCATCAGGCCATGTTTTAGAGCGTTCTGCCAGTGGTACTTAGAAGCAAGGTTCCTAAACCATCAATCTATTTATTTCCGAGTCTAGCCGTCGCCGAGTCACCTTGACTGAACGCAATAATTCATTACGAAGACCTCAAGTAAGAATTTGCCTAAATTTTTATCAGGCAATGGACCAAATATCTTGTCTCTCCAAGACAGACTGCATTACTGACTGATTCAGTGGTAGTAAGATATAAGTGCAGATGACTGATTGAGAGTCCTCTAATGGGTAGACCATCCTACCCTACAGTTAAACCTCTAAATAATGTACTTTAAGGTGACATCTTAATCTAGACCAACCTAGCTGAACCCAGCTGAGCCCAGCCAAGGTTTGTCCAGCTGAGCTAGCCAAAGCTAGAGCAAGGTCCCTCCTAGACGAACCTAGATGAACCTAGATAAGGCTGGACAAGGCTAGATAAAGCTAGACAAGGACTAGCCGAAGCAGCGAAGCTAGCTGCACCTTAGTCTAAAAATGGCCTAAATGCAGTGATTATCCCCACAGTGGCAACTTTCGACGTCGCACAAGTTTTCTGTGTTGTTTTGCGTAAAATCTCTTTTACTCGTCTGCTGCGCGCTGTTTCGAGCCATGGGCGGAATAAACTAGCACCGCCACTGTGGTACGCGTCGCGTAGCCCCGTGACCGTGACCGTGATGCTCGCGTTTAAAAAGTTTTTACACGACCTTTTCCTTTCACCGCATTTTTTCGGGCACCTTCTACACCGATAACGTGTCACTTCCAGGAGTACCAGTGCGCATTTCGTTATCTGTCTTTTATCCTCTCAACTCAGCCGACGATTTTAGTGAGACGTCTCATTGACGGTGTTCACTCCCAATCAGATGAAATCTTGGCGCGAGTCTTCCACGACCATGCTGAATGGGCGACGGAGGACATCATACACCCAGGTGATGGCCCATGGGTGGTGAGTCGCGTCTGCCGTTCTTGGAGAAAGATCGCCCTCGCCCATCCCGAAGTCTGGTCCGTCATCCGCATGGTAGGACCAGACCCCGACGAGATGGATGACATGTACCTTGGCGACTCAGATAGCGACTCGGAGGACGGGTTTAATTTTGGTGGCGCGGCTTTTTCGAAGCCAGATCCACTCTTCCTCTTGAATCTCGCATTGGAACGCTCGCGTGACTACCCGCTCATAGTTACGTTGGATTTTGGCGACTCACTGGCTGAAAGTGATGATGAGAACGGACCGGCTGCACAGATGAGGCGTATGGGCTTAAGGGACAGCAGCACTACGACACTGCACTCGAAGCTTATCCGGGCTGTTGTCGCCCACTCCAACAGGTGGAAGACGGCCGAGCTGCAGATCACCGATGCTCTCATCCCGCACTTCGCTCCCATCCGCAACCGCCTCTCAATGCTCACGACACTCACCGTTGGTGTCATGTCCTTCGAGAAGCCTGCTAGGCCTTTTCCGTACGCAAGGAACGCACCGAACCTCACGGACATCACACTGTACGACTACCCGCACGAAAAAATCGCCCTGCCATGGGGCTCCATCCGACGCTTCTCGGAAACACGCCTACCTTTGATGCGCCGTGGTCCTCCTACTAACTCGACGGCGACTTACCTGAAGCTATTGCGCGATAACCCGCGTCTTGACTCCTTTGAGGTGGCATATCCATTGCCCTCCCCCGCGTTTTCCCAATTCACTGCCGTCACACATCACTCTCTACGCTGCCTTTATGCATCCGAGAAAAGCCTTATCCGTGCCCTCACCCTTCCGCACCTCGAGGAACTCAAGATTGAAGCTAGGAAGCCCGAAGCGATCCCCGCGATCCGCGATCTCCTCACGCGGTCAAAATGCTCCCTCCAGAGACTACGACTTATCGACACTGCCCTCGACAATGATCTTCTCGCCATACTGTCCAGCAGCACCAGTTTGAAAAAGCTATGCGTCTTGCTCTCCGGATGGAACGCTGCGAATGAACAGACCATGAAGCTGCTGGTGACGAAGCTCGCCGAGCCATCCTTCCTCCCATGTCTCCAGGATTTAGAGATTATTATTGCCCAGGACTATTCGA